GTTTTGGTTAGTTGATTCCTTTTACCTCAGTATGCAAAGTGTTTTCCTTTTTCTTTGTTTGCTCAGAAATTTCTGATTGGATATCAGATATTTCAAATTTTTGCCTAGTTGGATACTGGATATTTTTGTATTCGTATGTATATTCTTGAGCTTTGTTCTGAGACACAGTTAAGTTACTTGGAAGCAGTTTTATCTTTTCAGTGCTTGCTTTTAAGATTTGTTAGGTGGGTCTGGAGGAGAGTTTAATCTAAGACTAATAATTCTGCATTGTTGATACAAGTAATGAATTATATATATTGACATATATCCTATCACCCTTGCTATATTTTCATAGTTAGAAATAAGGCACAGATTCTACCTTCACTCAGAAAGAAGAGATCAGACAAAGGCCTGAATACTAAGATGTGGGGGTTGTGGAGGCTACTATCTTCTCTACACAAGGTAACATAAATGACCTTGAAAACATTATGTTGAGTAAAATAAGCAAGATGCGAAAGAGTACATACTATAAGAATCCCATTTATATGAAATGGTAGAAAAGGCAGAACTAATCAATAGTGACAGAAAAGATATCACTCATTGGGGGTTGTGGATGGGTTAGGTGGATGTTTGTATGTAGTGAGATACTGGAGAACTTTTGAGGGTGCTGGAAATGTTCTATATACTGAGTGGGGTGCTGGTCACAAGGTTGTACACATTTGTGAAAACTCAAGGAATTGCATACTTAAAATGGTTTCACTGTATTGTATAAATTATAGCTCAATAAAGTTCATTAAGAAAAAAAAGAACAGAAATAACCATGGACATCACAAAATTTGTAACTTAAATGTGCCAACAAAATCTAATAGTATCTTAAGATATGCTTCAGGGTCAATAATCAGAAAATGACTCCTTTTGTAATATATCATTTGAAGAATTTTCAAATTCTTCAAAAAATATGGATTTTTGATTTTTATAGTTCTTTATGATATGTCAACACTCAGAACTGGCAAAGATTATTTTTTAAAAAATGAGGCTTTATTACAATATCATCTTTTCCTTACGTAAAGTAAACAACACATATTTCTGATATATCTTTGGGGAGCAGACTGTTCATAACCTTTCTACAATTCAATGGTCACCTACTGAATCTGGTGATAAATGTTTCATTTACCTTAACCCCTATTGTCAATGCTCTAAAAGTATATTAGCCTATGGAGATTTGAAGAATGTATGCTTCATGAAGTATTTTTCTGCCTCCTTCTTCTAGTCCTTTTTCATGATTAATGGGAGCTTTAATTTGCATACTCACTTTTATGTTCATTATATTATGTTATGTTCCAATAAGGGTATTAAAGTTCAATGAAAATCTCATGCATACTGATGAGAATGCAAATGAACATTGATGAAAGAATGCTAGGATCTTAAGGCATAAACTGTCCAGTTATCTTGCTAATTTCTTTTCAAACAATGGTTACATTATAATGAAGACTGATATAGAACCCACCATACAGATACAATTAGCAATGGCAAAATCATTATATAATTTATAATTGGATAGACATTCGATTCCAGATTGTTCTGGGGTTAAAAAAAAAGAAAAGAAATTTAATGATTTGATATTATTGCTTATTTTTATTCATTTCTCCTACTGAACTTTGCCAACCTTCAACAGGACATCTCCTTTGTTTTGCTGTATGTAGTGAGTGGGAAACTAGGGATAATTATATAAATGAGTGGTCACATTAAAATTTTCCAATCGTAACCTTTATTGGATGCATAACAAAGAATGGGCATCAATCATCATCTCAAGAAGATATTTCAAGTATCTAGTTAATGTAGAATTATAAGTATACAAATTTATTTCAGCAATTGCATTTTTCTATCTAGATTAAACAGCCATTTAAAGCAAAGCTAAAGGAATCCTTTGTAGCTTTCTTAGAAAATAGTGTCCTATGAGAGTAAATAGTCTAGGTGGTACTTAATACATTATCTGAGTTATATTACATTCTTACATCTATAATGAATTTTATAAATGTATGTAAAACCAATAAGCTTTAGAAAACACATATCAGGGTTTCCTCAACCAATTAATCTACTTTGGGATTTTAAAAAATTATTTACATTCTATTGAAGAATTTTTCTTTTTCTAACTTTACCAAAAAAAAAAAAACAAAAAAAAACCCTGAAAATGCTGTTTAGTAAACTCATCAATAAGACAAATTGTTGTTTTGAGTTTTTATACTCATGACGATAGTAAGTGTGCATTGTACCACCCCATACTTTTCAGCAGGCTCTAATGCCAACAATATGCGTTCATAGATGCTAGAATACATGGTAATCATTAGTAAAAAATGTAATACTTAATGTTTATCATAAGTACTATGAAAGTCTTTGAATCAAGATATACAGTTATTGCTAAAAGGCTTATACTTAATGATAGCCCTAGTATAAGCAAACGTTTTCTTTAAAGGGTCAAATGGTGAATATTGTAGGCTTTGTTGGTCATATGGTCTGTTCCAACTACTCAACTCTGCTGTTGTAGCACAAAAGCAGCCATAGACAATGTGTAAACAAATAAATGTGCCAGTGTTCCAATAAAACTTTATTCGTAAACATCAAAACTTGAATCTATAAATTTTCATGTGTCATGAAATGTTGTTTTTTTGTTTGATTATTTTTTTAACCATTTAAAAGTGTAAAAACAAGCTGTTGGCTGAATTTGGTTTGCTGTAGTGTGCCAACCCCTGCCCTACCAGTGATTTTTCTGAATTAAGTTTCTAATCTAGATTAAAACTGAAGATATACCACTTAAAACCTTTTAGAGTTATATGGCTCATGTTGAATTATTTTAAAAGAAGCCTCTTTCCAAGAAAAAAAAATGTATATAACTATAGGTAAGTAACTTTTATTTTGACCATAAAGAGGCAGTTGAAAAATTCTGTAAACTACTTCTTTCCTTGATTGCACAGAGGAATCTTGCTATTACTAAGCTGGATTTTCTAATACAAGTCAAAACTCCCATTAAAACAAGTATTTTTATAGTGGAATTATTTTATAGTGGAAGTATTTGTTCAACAGCTGTATGAAATACCTACTCTTTCAAGCATTTAGGTGGTAGGAAAATAAATATCCCATGGATAGATTGATAACCTTACAGGCTAACAAAGAATATAAAACTTGTGCAAGTTGTGGCTAGAAATGGACCAAATTGAAGTGGAAGCTAATAAGAAAGACAGTGCAGAAAAGGGTAATTAGGGATAGAAGTTCAGAAACAAGAGTAGAGAAGGCAAAATGCTGGACTATATTAGAGAGGTATGGGTTCAGTGCAAGAGAGAATAGAGCAGAAAAAAAGTAATTAATTCCAGGACAGCAGTTGACTGTTGTTATTTCTGCCCCAACAGCCATTCATTCACTACTGGGCTTGTATGAGGGCAGGACCTTGGATGACAGGAGGCAGACTGATGGAGTTGGTCAGATTTTAGAGCCAGTTCAGAGTATGATTCCCAGTATACCACTCACTAGTCACATGAGTTTAGACAAGTTGCTTAATCAGTTTCCAGTCTGTAAAATGGGGTCATTAATTCTTATTTCCTTACATGGAGTAAGTTTCACAACCTATTTCTCTTCCTGGTCTTTTGCTTGTTGCTTACCAAAATTCGAGAGACTGCTTAGTGGAGTATGGATGGTTTTTTGAGCCAGAGACAGGGTTGGATCTGGATTCCAGTCCCACTCACCATTACTACTTAATTTGGGAAACGTATTTAATTTCTCTATCAAATAAGGATACTTCACAATTTTGTAATGAAGACTGAATCAACTAACATGATAAAATAGTTTTTTTACTTTTTAAAGACATAGTCCCTACAGTATATTTCTTCAGTTTCCTATATATCCTTATAGGCCAAACAGATATTATTGATCTTTGCTTTTTTGAGTTTGCTATTAAAAATATAGATTTGCTGAATAATAGTGATAATGGTAGTAACAATTTAAACTTGTATACTTACTGTATGCCAGACTCTGAGCTAAGAATTTATATATACTATTTCATGTACCTTTAATAACAACCCTAAAATATAGATACTGTTATAATTTATATTTTACACCTGGGAAATCTGATGCCTAGAAAATTAAATAACTTGCCTCAAGTATGTGATGAGTTGGGATTTGAACCCCAAAAATGTGCCTCTACTCTCCTAAGCACTTTGAGATCCCAACATCTCAAACAAGCTTCAGTCAGAACAATTGAGACCAAGTCATTCCATCTATGGTGCTCACATTCTTAAATGTCTAAAAAGAGCTCGCTCTTGCCTCTTTTCTAATGTACTATTAATCACATCATTCTTTATGCTCTTCTCAGAGCCTTCTTTCTGATATCAGTGATTCCGATGCACTTCAGTAGGGGCATCGGCCCTGCTCCCTTCATATTGCTGTAAAGCGTCTAGTGCAGTGTTCAGTAGGTATTTCACAAATACGGGCTCCTTCTGCTCTGCAGCTCATTTCCCAAGTGTTGGAGCTAATACTTGATACCAACCATAGGAGTTAGGCTGCTTGCTAGAACAGATTAGAAGTCTCTGTAAAGTAAAACTTTCTATGTTCCTTCCTTTATAAATTGAGCAATAACTAATTCATATTTTCAGGATATGTAATTTTGATATTGCCTTGAAGTTTATTGTGATTTGGCCTATATGCCATACATACACTAACTTGATTCAAATGATCATATGAGGTACAACTTTAGATATGAAAATGTCCACTCTCTATCTTCCCAAACTGTTGTATTTTTTTATGACACAAATCACCTTCTGACATCGTATGTTTATGTATTTCTTTTCTATACCTTCACTAGTATATAAGCTATAGTAGAGAGGGAATTCATGTTCTGTTCCCTGTTGTACCTTTAGTGCCTAAAACAATATATAACAGATGCTCAACAAATATTTCTACTATGTATGCATGAGTGAAATGTTTGTGCAAATTATGGAAAACTTACATTTAAATATTATTTTTCTTTACAGCTTGGATTAGAAGAACAAGAAAGACTCCACCTACTATGGAGGTAAGAATATACAAGGACAATACTCAAATAGCATGTGTTTATAATACTTGTTTCTCAGTTTGTACTCAGAGATACATGAAACCTTAGAATAGATATGATGCATCTTCCAAAGTGTTCATTTTACTCCACAGAAACTAATTTAAAACATTTTTATAATAAAATAAATGAACAAATTATAGAATATAACAAAATTCGTATAAATTTTTAAATGAAATAATAAAAAAACGAAATAAAACAATTTTTAGAAAATTTGGACTTATAGCAGGACATTTCTCCAGGCCTCGTTCCAATATGGATGCTTTGGTGGAAAAGTATGAGAAACACTGAATATCTTGGTCCTATCTGAATCATACTCTGCTTGCTTATTTGCCCTTATTTTATTTTAAAACAATAAGATAAGGTGTTCTAAAATTATTTTACAGTTTAAGAAATAAGGGTATTTCATAATAAGAAAGTTTCTAAATTTGTTATTATACTGCCTATTCCTTTTTTTTCTACTATTTAGGACTTTCCTTCTCTTTTCTCTCCCCGATTTCCACCCTACTACATACTCTTATCACAACACAAATGAGCTCCAACACTCAGGTCCCATTTGTTGAGAGGCGAGGTACTCCAGGGCAGAACTCATGATGATTCATTCCTCCTGTACTGACCCCATCAATATTTCTCTGGCCGAGATCTGAGTAAGCACATCTCTAAGCCCTTTCTAGTTTTGTATGATGCTTCTACCTTGGCCCTGTCTTATTCTTCTCAGACTCTTCTTTCCAATATCATTGAACCTTGGAATAAAAGGGAAAAAAGTCAATGCTAACCAAGATTCAGATGTATCACCAGTGGTTTACAGTGGTAGGATGGATGGAGGAACCCTTCTGATTCTCCTCTAGGTTATAGTAAGAGCTACTATTCTTAGAGGAAAAGGTGTTTCTTCTATCCTCAGAACTTTGAAAGCCTTCTTCCATAGAAACATTGATATGCAAAGTGATTAGATGGAAGCAACTGCAATAATCAGTCCTAAGGCACCACCCTGTAAATTTTAAGTAATCCCAGCAATCAGAACTGTGACACCAAGTCATTCCATGGTGTTCACATTCTCGAATATCTAAAAAGGAGCCCTCTCTTGCCTCTTTTCTAATTTACTATTAATTACATCATTCTTATGCTCTTCTGTACCCTCCCCAACACACACACACACACACACACTCTCTCTCT